TCGACTTTAATTCCTTCACCAGCGCTTATAACAAATCCCAAATACTTTGTTTTCTTCACTGCAAAATCGCATTTATTTGGGTCCAGTTTTAAGCCGGCTATGTCTAGACGTTTGAACACAGATTCAACCTTAACCCAATGATCTTGGAGATCTCCGGAAGTGTAGATAAGAATATCATCAAGATACGCAGTGCAAAACTGGTCAAGATAATCTCCCAAGGATTCATTTACGTACCGCTGAAATGCAGCTGGAGCTCCTTGTAGCCCAAAGGGAGTGACTAGCCATTCAAAGGAGCCAAACCTTGTCCGAAAAGCAGTTTTTTTTTCGTCCCCCTTCCTAACTCGAAGTTTGTGGAATGCAGCGCGAACATCAACTTTGGTCATCCATGTCGATTTTGATATTGATCTCAGAGTTTCTCTTATCAGTGGTAGTGGGTACCGATCTTTTCCTGTGATTGCGTTCAAGGCTCTGTAGTCTACACAGAATCTCAAACCCCCATTTGGCTTTTTAACAAAGAGCACTGGTGCTCCTCCTGGCGAGCTGCTGGCTCTGATCCATCCTTTATCGAGATGATCATTTAGCGTTTTCCTTAAAACTAGGAGCTCATCTCTTGACATTCCATAAAGTGGGCCCCAAGGTATAGATTTTTCTCTACCTTGTTCGTCTCTTTCTAAATCGATTTTCATATCGGAATGTCGATGTGGGGGTAATTTACTTTGTCTGTCTTCGACAAAGAGATTGGACCAATGTTTTATGGAAGGAGGAAGTGTCCTTCTTATTTCCTCTGATGTTTCTTCGCTTTTTATCTCCAGAGCCTTGTTAAGATCTTGCATTGTAATGGCGAAAATCTTTGATCCTGTTTCCACCTTAGCAAGCTTCATTAGTGAAATAAATTTGCCACCCAATACTTTTTTAGCTGTAGCAACATGGTGTATTTCTTTTTTTAACTTCAATGAGGCCATGTTATTATACCAACCCTTTTCTCTGACAACCTGTCCGTACTTCTGAGAACCAAATCGAATCACTCGCTTCTTTGCAAGATAGACGACATCATTTTGTTCCATCCATGGTTTTCCCAGGATAATATCGTAGGAAAGGTCTTGGATAATATATCCATAGACCTTTTCTCGTCTACCGTCAATATCGAAGTCTGCAAAAGTCAATTCGTTTATTGTTCTTTGCTTCCCATCATTTTCTGCTAGTTGCAAGGATCTTTTTGGTATTTTTATGCGCGGAAGTTCCCATTTCTTCACGATCTCATTAGAAAATGCAGCATAACAGAGACAGCCTGTGTCAATCAAAGATTGCACAAAGAAACTTGAGTTTAACAGACAATCTATTAAAAATGGAGTACTGTTCAATTTATCTGTTTTTTTAACTAAATCAATGGAAAATGATTCTCCCTTGCTCTGAGCGCGACGTTGCTCAGAGCTTACTCTTCCCCCGAAACCTCACTGGTCTCCAACTCTTCATAGCTGACCTTTTCTTCTGTGTGGCTCTGTTTCCTTATCTTCGTGGGGCCTTTTACATAGGCGATCCTTGAAGCGAGATTTTGAGCTGGACCGAATTTAGTGCATGCGCGAGATAAATGACCTTTTTCTCGACACCGGACGCATCTTCCCTCGCTACACAAAATTTTAAATTCCTCCGGGGAACGCCATTTAGCCCTGGGCTTGTTGGTAATGTTTCGACTATTTAGGGAGTTTAGCGCTAGTTTGAGAGCCTCAATAGCATTAACTCCCCCCATCTTGGTATCTCCTTCATCGTCAAGGTCTGGTACGTGAAGATATCGGTCAGTTGTGCTGGAATGGTACTTGGATTGCTTATGAGACAAATACCAAGTTTTCTTGCCAGTGCAGCCTGTTGGTCGATAAGATGGTCGATTTTCGAGTCGTCCCGCTACTCTTTTGACCATAGAAACCCATGTTTCGAAATCATCATCAGGTAGATCTTTGGATACCAGATGGTCACTCAGCGATTCGTTAATACTTGAATTAAGTTTCATGATCTTGCTGCTGTCAGGCCAATTAGTTCCCCCGCATTGTGCAAGCTTAACCTGAAAATCTTGAAAGAAGTCGCAGAAGTATTGATTGGAACCCATACGCATCCGATAAAGTAGATCTCCTGCAGTCTGTCGGGCTTGTTTATCCTCGAATTCAAGCTTGATATGTTCGACAAAATCTTTCCAGTTGTGCATTCCTGAAGGGCCTCCTGTCTCAAACCAGTGACTCACTCTGGATTGTTTATCTACTGGTATGGAATTCAGGATCCCTAGACATATAGCGCGATCCGACCCTAGCTGACGTTTATCTTCTTCGACTTTAACAATTAGCTGATAAATATGAGATGATAGAGTAGTGATTGAGCCGTCCCACGAAGGCCACTTGCTGGGCTTTTTGTACTGTGGCTGAGTTGATGTTGCGTGTGGAAAATTTTGCGCATTCAATAGGGGTTGACGGCGAGAGATATCTGCTATAATTTGATTATATAGCGCCTGATATTGAGGTGACGACGGATTAAATGATGGAATGTCCCCAGCTTGGTGAGGAGATCGGCTCTGTTGCTCTTCGAACTCTGAGGGTTCGCCTAGTTGCTCATGAACCGTATTTTGCGGTTGGCCGTAATGGGCACCGCTGACGTTAGCTTGTTCCGACATAGTTTCACTTGCCCTGGAATGAAAGGAAGCGTTGTCAGTCGAATCGGTATCGATATCTATACTTGGGATTCGGTAGCTCATAGAAGATTTGATCTTCTCTTCTAGTCTTTGGTTGACCGGAAATTTTGTTGTTTAATGGGATAAACTACAATGTTAGGATGATGTAGAAAATATGTGATGGGCGATCAACAAAACAATATAGTAAAGGAATGGTGGCCGATTACTGTCTATTTTCTACATACATCTCGGAACTGTCCACCGAGGGGATGCTACTTAAGGTGTCCCAACTCCCAATGCGCTAACCTCACTATCTATTCTACTACATCATATCCTTGATATTCCGAGTGGGCTCGTCATAGCGAATCTGGGTCGTATCGGCCCATGATTCCATATGAGACTTGCTGCAACAATATCTTGTTTCCATATTTGTTGCAACCCTGTATTTGTATGGCCAAGTTGGACATCTCTCTAGATAGCAAGGCTAATGACGTAATAATGATAAGTGTCCGTGCGACAGTCACTAGGAGATAGGCGCAGCCTGTAACAGGTATCCAGGCTACTTCGATTCAGTTTGAGGAACCGGCGTGGATGGTGTACCACCACAACATACAACCATGAATGTATTTATAGTGTCGTCTGCACTCTTACTGACGAAGCCATGGTCGGTTTCAAGCTCTTTAACAATGAATACTCACTTCAAGATATCGAAACTTTACCCCAATGACACCGATCGTGACCCACAACCCTTGCAATATGGATATTCGGGATGGCCTTGAGAAGTATCAATACAAATAGACATAATTGTGGTATAGATCGATACGACCTTGAAAGGGGTTATCTTATTGCAATGAGCATTTATATGGTGGCTAGCTGAGGCCAGAGATTGAGTGGACATACAATACGATTAATGAAGTAAGAATCTGCTAGGTCGGACTTTTAAAATTGCTGAGGAGTCATTAGGAATCCATCTTTTTAGGGGTGAAGGATTGAAGTAGTTTGGGGTATCGAACAGTTGCTTCGTGGGCCAACTCCTTCCGAATCGTGATAGCTGACTAGAGTTGGCACGAAGAAGATATTTCACACCCATTTTCGTAGAGGGACAAGTAACAGGTGTCACTTAATAGTCTAATTGCTACAATCGGCATGATTATTGGCGTAGATGTTGAATGAGTCCCTTTTTTGCATCAGATTTTAATTTCGTATGCAGGTTTCTAGCTATGACAAAACGTGAGAGATAAACTACAGAATAAATGCCCCGTGTTTGATTTGCAATTACCACTGCAAAGTTGTGCCAGCTTTTCCTTCACCCCAAATCAGCCCTCATCTGTGAATACACACTCAGGGAAACGTCTTAAAAACCTCTCAGTTGTCCAGATATATCTCCATATCCGTTGACTTTTCTCCGCGCGAAGTGTAATCGGAGACTTCTCCTTCCTAAGTGGCGTAGATGCCTAGGCTACTCAAACTATACCGGAGACAGCCACCAAGAGACGAACCACAGCACCTTCCATCGTTGGCTTGTTTTTAAAGAAGTAGCTGCACCCTCGTAGGCGGAGTTCTGACGCGCACAAAGCTTAATTCGTGATACTTCTTGCCAAAATTCAAAATTTCACGCCCTTCGAGGTCACATCCTTCCTATGCATCATCTTATGGACTTGTCCTGAACCCTCTCACGCCTATTCCAAAGAACTGTCTCCCAGACTTGTGCACAACGCCCTACTTTCTCCGTCGGGTATAAATACCGGCGTGGGCGTGTATTTGGTGGTCAACTGAGGTCAGAGAAGGTCGAAGAGAGGTGTAGTCATTGAGATGAACATGTATTTGGTCGTACTTGTAGACTTGATGAGACTTAGGTAGGTGTCAAACTAGTTGGATGCGAAAAAACGACGTGGTGGAGTAGTTTGAATCATTGCCTCGTGGGCCAACTTCTTTGATATTGCGAAATTTGACTGAACCTGGCTCTGGGAGAATATTTCACTCCCAGGTTCGTGGAGAACACCGCGTACAGTTCAGTCTTGCCCTCCTTAGAATGTGTGTGTACCGTCTGATAACGACAAACAATTTCAATTGTCATAAATTGCAAGAGCTTTATACTTTCAGGTGAGCAGATGAGCCGAAGATCAAGGAGGATAGCCGATTCTTCCCTTGACAAGAAATATGGTCCTGGTTGCCCCACTTGAGCTGCGCATCTGTGGGGCAGGGAAATGAAATTTTCATTATTTAGTACATTATCCTCTACATGTAAACAACACACTTGGATATGATATATCACGTGATATTGTTATAGGGAAACTCAACTTCATCGAAAGTCATTAATGAGGTCGCCAGCCTCCTCAGCGCTAGTATGAAATCTGTATCTGAGTCTAGCAAGCCGGCTCGAAAGCGCAAACGACAGATCGAGAAGAATGTTGACTGTAAGCAACTACATCCAGCGACTACCGTCACTGCCAGGAAGAGCACAAACGACAATGCAGGACCTCAGAAACTTTCACAATCCACACTATCAAAGGTCGATTGCGAACACGACAGCTCTATTCAATCAAATATCTTGTGGCCAGATTTCTTCAAGCAACTGGAAAAAACTCATAGAGCCTTGAATCTTGTATTTACATTTTGCTGCACGCGAAAACAACTTGCCACCACGTTTGACACCATCAAGGCAGCCGTAGAGAATCATATTCATCGACAGCTAGAGATAAAAGAGGTAGCTCAGATCGTTGCATTGCGGCCTCGGGGAATGAGTTTTACCTATGTAAATAAAAATTTGCTACAGCTGGATGTTCCATATGATAGTCGAGAACAGATTTTCAGAGAAGATGCCCGCGGCGATGATCGAGTTGCTGCTCAAAAAAATAGCACAGCAGGCTACATCAAATCTGGGTCAGAAGAAGCACTTGGATCAACTGATGCCGGACTAGAGGTGCTGCTCTTTGAATTCACCGATGGTGACTTGAAGAGAAACTCCATCAATGAAAAGCCCAAGAAATCAGCGAAAGTGAAGCGGAATGCGAGAGGCGAAAATCTAATGCCAACCTACAGTCAAAAACAGATGCTGAGCTTAGTAGAGAAGCGCAATAGTAAATTTTCCGTCGCTATTAATGCATTCCTGGCTAAATGCCTAGCTAACGGACTTGACCCTGAGGAGACCCTAAAAACAGAGGCTTTAGCTTATACTGCTGAGCCAAGTGTAGCACGAAATATTTCAACTCGCTCTGAAAGCAGAATACCTTCAACAATACCCTCACAGAGAAAATCAATCGCATCAATAATCGCTGAAATTAAGGAAACTGAGATGTACACAGGCCAGATAGTTCCGGGTGGTCACCGAGTGTTTGACCCTCAGGAAGCTGTCTATGGCGATTTGGAATTTCAGCTCAGTCAGGATATGGTCAATGCCTTGTATAATGCTAAAAATATTACTCAACTGTATTCACACCAAGCCGAAGCCATAAATAACCTACACAGGGGCCACGATGTTATAGTTGCTACCTCTACTAGCTCTGGGAAATCTCTCATCTACCAGATTCCAGTTCTACATGAATTGGAACGAGATCCTCATACTAGAGCCATGTATATCTTCCCAACCAAAGCTCTCGCGCAGGATCAAAGAAAAAGCATAAAAGAAATGCTGTGCTATCTGAAGGGTCTTGAAGGCACAATTGTTGAGACTTTTGACGGTGATACTGAAATGAAGGATCGCAATACCATCCGCGATGAAGGTCGAATAATACTGACGAATCCGGACATGCTACACATTACCATTCTTCCCCAAGAAGAAAAATGGCGAACTTTTCTGCAGAATCTCAAGTTTGTGGTTGTCGACGAGATTCATATCTATAACGGGCTCTTCGGCTCTCATGTATCCCTCATCATGCGCCGGCTTCGACGAGTATGTGCAGCAGTCGGTAACGAGCGTATAAGGTTTATTTCTTGCTCTGCTACGGTGGCCAATCCTATAGATCACTTCAAGACCATTTTCGGGATAGAAGATATCAAGCTCGTAGACTTTGATGGCTCTCCTTCTGGCCGCAAAGAATTCCTTTGTTGGAATACGCCTTTTAAAGATCCTAACGACGCGGCAAGCGGTCGAGGCGACATAAACATCGAGACTGCAAAGTTATTCTCTCAATTAATATTAAGGGGGGCACGAGTCATTGCCTTTTGTCGAATACGAAAGGGATGCGAAGCTCTTCTCGCGGCCGTAAAGTATGAGTTAACTTCATTGGGATATCCTGAACACATGGTACGAGTTATGGGATATCGCGGGGGCTATACTCCCCAAGACCGGCGTCAGATTGAAAGTCAGATGTTTGAAGGAAAGTTAATGGGTATAGTAGCAACTACAGCACTTGAATTGGGAGTAGATATTGGCTCTTTAGATGCCGTCCTTACAGTTGGATTCCCATATACTATTTCAAACTTGCGACAGCAGAGTGGCCGAGCGGGACGAAGAAATAAAGATTCCTTATCAGTTCTCATTGGTGATAGTGCCCCTACCGACCAGTATTACATGGAAAATCCGGATGAGATTTTCACGAAACCGAATGCCAAGTTGCAGGTAAATTTACAAAATATCCTAGTCCTTGAGGGTCATATCCAGTGCGCTGCTTATGAGATACCTATTCGTATTGATCAAGATACAAAGTACTTTCCTAAGAGCTTGAGAGAGATAGCTGAAGAACGCTTGGTTCCTGATAGCATGGGGTTTTATCACTGTCATGATAGGTTCCGACCTAATCCCGCCAAATTTGTGTCAATTCGAGATACAGAAGAAGATCATTTCGCCGTTATCGATATCAGCCATGGAAAGAACATTGTACTTGAGGAAATAGAGGCCTCCCGCGCTAGCTTCACGCTTTACGATGGAGGAATCTTTCTACACCAGGGAAACACATACTTAATTAAAGAGTTTAGTCCGGAACGAAAAATCGCCAGAGTTGAACTTGTGCGGGTTGACTGGACGACTCAGCAGCGTAATTATACTGATATTGACCCAGTAGAGACAGAAGCAATTCGACGCATTCCCAACTCACTCTCGCGCGCCTTTTTTGGAAGAATCAAGATTCAGAAAACGGTTCATAGTTTTGTCAAGCTGGATAAGCGACATCGTATTTTGGATATTGTGGAAGTTGATAATCCTCCTATTATAATCTTCAGTAAAGGCATGTGGCTTGACGTTCCAAGGCAAGCGCTGGAAATTCTCGTACAAAGAAAGCTAGATATTGCAGGAGCTGTTCACGCTGCAGAACACGCAATGCTAAGCCTGATGCCTAAGTTTGTGATCAGTATGCCTGGAGATGTGCGCACTGAATGCCGAGCGGCGCCACGAGAGCTTGCCCGAAAAATTAAGCCACGTAAGCGTCCAGCTCGACTGACATTTTATGATGCCAAGGGCGGAGCCGGTGGATCTGGGATTAGCACGAAAGCCTTTGAGTTTGTGGACTTACTCCTCGAACAAGCACTCGATCGGGTGCGTGCCTGCAATTGTCTTGAGGGCTGTATGGAATGCGTCGCTAGTGAGCTTTGTAAGCATGCAAATGAGCTTATGAGCAAAGCAGGTGCCCAAGTGATACTGCGCAGCTTACTTAATTTAAAGATTGATATCGCTGCGCTGCCCATAGGATCATCGGATCAAAGTATTGAAGACTCGGACGGAGGGCTACTTGCAAAGCCGGTCCCTAATGGAAATTTACTAGATGATGGAAATATCATCAAGATCGAATACCCTAGCTAGAGGAATTTTGGCCGATTCTAAGTTACGGACTATGCCATAAATAATATTATTATTGGAAGTTAATAATTTCTTCAAGAACCTCTATACGCAATATTTCACGAGCGACCCATGACTTAATTATCCAGCTATAGCTATTGTCTTGTTTGATTTATTGTGTTATACTACTGGGATGCAACTTATGGTCCTGCTTTGACCTTTTCCATAGACGTCTTTATATAAGCAACGTCACGAGAATAATGAGAATACCTATCTCGTATGAATCCAAGCCTGGTAATAAGAGATGGTGGAGAGGTCTCCTTTTAATACAAAGGGTATATCGGTTATTTGGTGTGATGCAAGATGAACTATCAGCTTGGATCGATTCGAGTAGATAAGGGGCCCTCATGAAACATAAATCAAGGTACAGGAAATCCTAGAAAGATTCTCTTCATATAATGGCTCGCGCTTAAAGGTTTTAACATTGGTAATCAAAGTCTCGTTTATCTTTGAGGAAAGCAAATAAAGAGACATAATTCCCGAAATGATGTAATGAAGGATTCTCTGCCTTTCTCGCCGCACTTTTGCTTAAGTTCAGCGCCTTTCTCGAAGCAAATTATTGAACGCTCTCTGTCTCTATTTTTAGCGTGTGCGTTGAATTCCTCTGTTTTGAGAGTTTTCTACTGTACAGCTTTGTTTGTTTGCTATTGGCCATTAAAAATTCTTAGAGTTTGAATAATGGTAACTAGAATAATCATATTTTTGAGTCTCTGAACACTACTTGAATCAGCATATGATACGCAATTTAAATCCTATCAAGCTACTTTCTCCCGATAGTCAGGATGGCGGTATAGCCCTGGACCTCGAGAAATATGAAAATTTTTTCTTGTCATTGGTGATCTCAGTGAACCTGAGAGCCAAAGATCCTGTGGGAGTTGGCAGCCAATTTTTGGAAATGATGGCGAATCGATCCGCATATCTAGATCCGTGTTACGAACTGTGGCTTGCAAGATCACTGAAGTATCTGATTATGATATCAAAAACGGAGAATTGCTTGGATCTAGAGATGGCTAGGGATACGAGGGACTAGATGTTAAGTGGCTCGGGATGCCGTCAACTGGTATGAAGTTGGATTAGGATACCCACGGCGGCCTGGTGTTATGGAAGCATTGATGACATCTTAATCACTACTGGCTTGATTCCAACCTCATTACATATTTAACTTGTAGGCAGAGCTATGCCCATTAGCTTTATTACCTTTTAAACCTTGAGTTCTTGCTTGCCATCATTAGCGTGCCATAATACTGGATCTAGACCAAGAGAAAATTGACCAAGGTAAGTGGATTCTAGATGTCGGAAAACTACCAATGGTCAATTCACAAGCTTGTATGGGGTTAATCAATTCATTCCTATCTCTTCTCCCTGTCGGGAGGAATTCTATAAATACATTGTTGCATTTATCTAAACGCTATTCCCTATAAGGAAAGGTCTCAACTCGACCCTTGTACATTACGTTTTGTGAGCCAGTTCACACACTAGAAGATTTGCAAAAGAGTGGAAGCACGGCGTGAAGAGCTTCCTGTTCGATACTAGTAAGGCCTCTGTACATTTCACGGATCCGTAAATAGAATTTTAATACTAATATTAATTCGTGATAAGATGAAGGGGTAGCTAATTAAAGACATCAATTTAATAATAGCTCTCCCTATAAAATTAGTCGTGTAAAAAGTCATGTAAGGATATGCAAGAGAGTCATGAAGAGAAGGACAAGAACACAGCCATTAATGCGAAGATATTGGCAAGAATTGATTACGATTAATTCTAGTTGGCAAAGGCTTCTACTCTTGTATACAATAGTTCGGTGTGAGAGAGATTTACTCCTCACGCAACGTCTTCTTTACTTATCCTTTACAATACGTTTGTTTATCCATCTCTTCTTCGGGAAGACCATATATCCATTGCCCAGTTCTTCATCAGCAGGACCCACGTGTAACATCTACTGCAACTAGTTGCCCATTCATCTCCTCCTAGAGAAGACGTGTCATCCCTTTGACCCATTTATTATCTTCACTTACCACCTAGATCTTCACTAGGCTGTACAACGCACCCCGTGGAACACTGTCAAACCCTCGTCCTTGAGAGTACATTGGTCCGCAAACCATTACTTGATTTTGTAGATCTGGTATCAGTCCGATACCCACGACTCAGGCCGACCTTGAAGCGTTGACAAGAAATAATTCTAGCACTGACGGTGGCCTAGATCCAGGGAAACTTTGGGAGTAGCATTTTTGCGGGCGAGGCTCTATTATGATTGGTATATGGTTGGGGAATGTATATTTGCGCCAGAACAGCTAAGATAGTTTGTGGAGAGAAATCTTTATTGATATGTAAAAGTGAAGTTATTATCTTTAATGTTATGTTACAGATGGGGGGGGCTCGTTCCTCATCCCCTAGCTTGTTCGCCTGAAGACCGATCACGTAGCCAGTATGCAGCTCACCAAAGTGTGCTCCCAACTGAGCAACTATGCCATTAATCCTATATCAGCGACTCATCACTCATACTGCACACAGTACTACATGTAATGCCGTTATGTAGAGGCTTCATTTCCTTCGTGCGCCATAATGCCATATTGCCATAATAGCTACCGGTGCACTAACTACTAGATCTACCATACTACATCGCTGAGCTTAATGTGAAAGTTTAAAGCAGACGGTCAGCGCATGCAAGCAACACCATAAATGATTAATATTCTTCCATGGGAGAGATAACTTCAACTGGATTGTGCGGTGTTGTGTTATCCATGTAACTTACCGTGGCACATGCTTTGGTCACGTCATAGTAAATTCACGTGACTGTTGAACTAAACCGTGGGGTGCTTTTTTTTAACTTTTGGTCCTAACCTAACGCTGTCTTTTCCACATTGGGTCAAGAACTGGTGGAGCCGGCAAGAATCACTGCGTACAGCCCAACTCATTCCAACCGCATGAACTTCTACTGAAATTGGTAGAAGTTAACAGCAAAACTAAAATCAAAAACTGAAATCACATTTGGAAGAAATACTGTTTGATCCGGATCCCGCGCTTCTCGCCCGTTCCCTTTCCTGCCACATCTTCCACGTGACTTTTTCTTATCTCCGCTGAGAGCGAAAGACTAGTTCGCAGATACCCTGAATTCAGCTGGTATCTTGCTATAAATATTGAAGCTTTTTGTAGACTTCACCGAGGGTTGCTGTACCCTCAAACTACTTCTTCGGATTCCGGAACCCGATCCCTCGGCCATCGAGACATCCTTCGTTGAGGCCATCGTTGCCTCTTCGGCCCTTTTGGCTGCAGCCCTAAATCGAGTCACTTTCGCGAACTCCCCTTGCTGGATCTGGCGGATCCGCGCGAGCTGCTCTTTTGTCACCGGTCCGGACTTGCTGGGTCTGGCTAAGCAGGCCCGGGAATCCGATCGGTGAGGTCCCCCACAGTTTCGACACCGGGTGAGGGCCTTGCACTCTGATTCTGAGTGCATATTAGATCCGCATTTCCAGCAAGCTGGAGCGCGGGAACAACCACAGGTGGCGTGAAATTCAAGACACCGTTTACATTGTTCGATTTTGCGACGAGGTCGGAAGAGCTTTGCAGCTCCAGAGTCGTCGAAAAGGCGGAATCCAGGTCGAGGAGCGGATTCTCGAGGAAATAGCGCTTGCCAATTTAAGTAGGGCGCCCCTGGTTTGCTAGTCCCATGAGGACGAACCAGAAAGGGAACCAACTGGGTCACTCGCGTGACTTCGTTGGCAACCATCTTTGCCGTCACGGCGATTGGGCCAGCAAGAGTTCGAATTGTCTCCGGGACGGTGGCAATTTGCATGGCAACCAGATTTGATGCTGGTTCCAGGAGTATTTCTGGATCTCTCCGCAGTGCGGAGGAATCCAAGAGCTCCTTTCGAGAAGCTTCGTTCTTTACTGTAATAGCAAAGCCGGTCTTTACCCGCTGAACCAACGTAATATCATTAGCAGCGGTTCCCAGCACCAGAGACACAGCTGACCTAATGCCAGCTGGGTAGAGGAGACGGTGGGGGTGGAAGTATTCGAGGCGCAGAAAAAGTCGTGAATCGACTTTTGTCCTCGGGTTGGCACTCTTTGCTTTGGGGGCGGACGGTGCTGCCTTTTTTGTCGACTGCCCAGCGCTGCGGGTTAGGCCTCCCCGAGCTATGGTAGCCCATGTTGTCTTCGGGGCCGGAGCCTGGGCTGTTGGAGGGTTAGGAACCCTTATTTCTGGTGCCCTCGGTGGAAGAGGGTTGGCGGTGCGAGCAGGGAGAACTGGTGGTGCGCTCCCTGGGCCAGATTGTACGAACTGGCCAATGGCCGCTCGAAGATAGACTTTGATTCCGTCTACAAATTCTTTATTATCGCCAATCGAAAGAGGCGAAAGTGCTGCTTCGACACTGCTAATTGCGAGTCGGGCGTTTATTTGCGTCGTGCGACGCTTTTTGGCCTCCATCACTGATTGCAGCACTAGTGGAAATTCCATTGCTGATGTCGATGCTGCGCCTTTAGAGGCTAGCACAGCATTGTTTCCTGCAGATGATTCTGCACGTTCGGTTGTCTTTTCTCGAACAACTTCCTTTCCTTTCCTGGAGCTGCTTGCCACTGGGGCCAGCTCGACGGGGGTTTTGGTCTTGGGACCATTGTTTTCTGCTCTGATCGGTTCAGAATCAATCATCTCTTGATCGGGAAGATTTGTAGACTTCCCTGGGACAAAGGCCTCACTCGCAAATAGGTTTGATAATTTCTGCGCGAGGCCAGTAGGTTTTGGACACAATGGTGTTCGTTCAAAGCCGGCTAAAGTTGTCGGCTTTGGGCGATTTTTTCTCACCGGAGGCATTTTAAATACCTCGCGACGGTTAACAACTCGAGAAGTCAAGCAGAGAAGTGATCATAGGAATGGAAAATGGGAAAAAGGGAATTTTCGAATTTCTCAAATTGTGCGTTTTTTTTGTTCATTAACGTGCTAAGTGAAGTAACTATCGTTGCACTCC